GGCAGGCGGACTCCCAACAACTGCGCCACCAGGGAAGCCCCTGCATGTGTCTTTTTGAATTATGGTTTTCTCAGGGTATACAGCCTCAGTCTTCATCCTTCGGATTCACCTTCCACTTCAGGAACTTTTCACTAATTGATGCTGTCATCACCACACAGTGGTAAATGTTCAGACATAACAAAAGGAAGCTCATGGGGAATTGCATACAGCCAAATAAAATGGCTTTACATAATGAGTCCTACTCATCTGCCATGCATTTCGCTCTACAAAAATGACTTCCTGCCTGACAGCCTACATCCAAGCAACAATGGGTTAGGCTCGGTCCACTCTCAAAGATGCTTGTATTCAGTGGTGTGCTAAAGCCAGCTCTTAAAAGACAATTGTGCACATATGTACACAACCCCATGTTCAATAATATCACTTTGATAGCTTGAAATCAGCCACAGTGGGAGTATTAAGATCATGATAAATACTACAAATCAGGATCAATTTTTTTTTCTGGAGAGCCAGTGGTTAAACATTTACCAGCATGTCACTGCCTATATGCTTCGTAGTCCAGATTCAAGAGGACCAAGCCTACTGAGAAAGAAGAACTCACAGTCTACAGTGTTGAAGGCCAAACTTCATGTATTAATGTCCCAGTTAGTTACCCAATAATTGACACCCAAAATGGGCAATCCCCCTCCAGGAATACCTTACTTCCTACCCAGTGGGTCATAAGTTTACCTTATAACCTTTATAAATCATCTCAGAATTATATCAGTGCAACTCAGTCAGCCTAACATTAGCATAAGATGCAGTGGGAGGTCAGGAAAGAAGGAAGGTAGTGTCATTTCCTTACATCTTTAATAGGTGCCCTTACACAGGTTTTTATGACTTTGATTGAGAGCCCATTGATTTCCAACTTCAGCATAATTCATTTGGCCACATTAGGGCATCATCTCAGAGGATTTTATACCTATCTGTTTGCATATTAAAGTTTAAGAGCTAGAGGCTTCCCTGGTGGCGCAGTGGTTGAGAGTCCGCCTGCCGATGCGGGGGACACGGGTTCGTGCCCCGGTCCGGGAAGATCCCACATGCCGTGGAGCGGCTGGGCCCGTGAGCCATGGCCGCTGAGCCTGCGCGTCCGGAGCCTGTGCTCCGCAACGGGAGAGGCCGCAGCGGTGAGAGGCTTGCATACCGCAAAATAAATGAATAAATAAATAAAAATAAAGTTTAAGTGGTAGATTTGCCTCTTTGTCATGGGGGGAGGGAGGGTTTGAACAACCCAAAGGTCCATTAGTAGGAGAATGAGTAAATAAATCAAAGTATATCAATACAATGGACTACAATGGTATCATAAAAAAAATAGGAATGGGCAGAATTATATGCTGAATAACATAGAAAAAGGGAAAAAGGGAACCAAGATACATTGTTACATGGGAAAAGTAGCTGCAGAACATTGTGATTAGCATGATCTCATTTTTTTAAATAAAAAGGCAAATATATACCCATATGAATACATTTGTATATAGAGAAATTTTAGAAGGATATATATACTCCATCCATAATGATGGGTTACCTTTTAGGTACAGGATTTGGGAAGATGGAGAAAACTTTCACTACCAGTGGTATTTAAGTTTTTAAATGTATATGTATCATTTTTATAATTTAAAAAATATATTAAAAGCTATATCTCTATTGACCTGTACACTTAAGATCTGTGCATTTCACTATCTGTAAATTATACCTAAATTTTTTTAAAAAGGAAGCTGTGTACAAAAATTCAACCAACCATGTTAAAACTGATTTTATTGGACTAAATGGATTCCTCTTTGGCATTTCACTTTAAATGTATGATTTTAATTAGCTAATCATTGAGAAATTGAACCATTTTGTGTAATCATGATTATTTTGAAACAGCACATTTACTATTCTTCTTGGCATTTTTTTGTGGTTTTTTTTTTTGCGGTACGCGGGCCTCTCACTGTTGAGGCCTCTCCCATTGCGGAGCACAGGCTCCCGATGCGCAGGCTCAGCAGCCATGGCTCACAGGCCCACCCGCTCCGCGGCATGTGGGATCTTCCCAGACCTGGGCACGAACCCGTGTCCCCTGCATCGGCAGGCGGACTCTCAACCACTGCGCCACCAGGGAAGCCCCTTCTTGGCATTTTTACCCTACTTCAAGTGTTCTCACTTATTTCTCCCCAAAAAATGTTAAATAGGAATTTGTTGAATAGGAGCTGTTTTGCGGGGAGGAAGTTGGCAATGATCTTTTATTGCAGAGACATATCAAAGAGTGACCAAACAAGATGTCTGATATTTTGGCATTCACTATTTGGTACATATACAACGTGATGATATATAAAATTCCTTCAGGAAGCCACCCATCTCTATTGTTACATCCCTAAGTTGATTAAGTTTATGCACTTATTTTTATAGCATCAAAATACGAGATGCTTAAGAAGTCTCTTTTTCTCCTTTCTGAGAATGAATCTTCTGAAAAAGACAAGGACATGAAGGAAAATGCTGCTCTCAAAATCCAAGCAGCCTTCCGGGGACACTTAGCCAGAGAGAAGGTAAAGAAAATGAAATCGAGTGATCTTCAAGGAAAAACAGAGGAAAACGAGTGAGGAGACTGGCTTTACCCCCCAGAAAACACGAAAAAATCCAAATCCATCAACCTTGTTGTGACTGTCTTTTTGTTCTTAATAAGTGAGATTTGATGTAGTAAAATAACATTTATTGCTGTTGTGAAAATCTGTCGTGAGCATGTGTTTAATAAACATGCCATTGAACACATGCCTCTTGAAGACTTCTCTGAGATCGTGAGTCTTATTTATACTTCTCCCAGGTCTATGTCTAGAGACCCTTGGATTTAGAGTTACAAAGCTGGAGTACCTGAGTTTTCAGAGATCTCAGAGGCTGTGTGATTTAACCATTATCTAATGAATAACTCCTCTCTATCACATCCCTGAAAAATAGTCCTTTGGCTCCTCTTTCAATCCCAGTAGTAGAGAATTCCACTGATTTTCAAGGATAGTCCATTTAGTTTTTGAATAACTCAAATTATTAGAAGATGAGTCAAAAATCTGTCTCCCTGTAAGTTTCACCCATTAATTTTCATTTGTCATGTTTGCAATCTTTTATTGAAAAAAAATGTATTGCGCACAATTCATGTGCTGGGATTTAGTAGTAAATATCTGCTCTTACACTCATGCAGCTGTTGACAGTTTTCTTTTTTTTTTTATTGTCTTGCTCTCCAGAACCACACAGAATAAGACTAATGTATAACATTTGCAAAAATCAAAAGTTATCATAACATCATAAATGCTCTCTTCTTTAGCTAAAACTTCCCAAGTTTATTTAATGTGTAAATGATAATACCTATTTCACAAACTCAGGAGCCTATGTCTTTTTTTTTTTTTTTTTTTTTCCAGTGAACCATTCAAGCTGCCAGTGCCTTATTTTTAGAAAGTTCAGTTTTCCCTTTTTGAGGCTTCCCCACCCTAGAATATCCAAGAAACTGCAGGGTTCATGTCTTAGACCAAAAGATGCAGTTCCCTTCTCAAAACAAAACGGAGAGAAAGTGGAGTCTTAACATTTAATTAATGTTGTTGCCGTCTACGAGCAGCAGACTGAGGTAATGTCCTGGCTGGTTAATATTCCTGTCTGCACCACAATGGATGTCCCAGGCTTTGGTTCTAGGATGAGACCTCTGTTAGTTCACAGTCACACAGCCATTGTTCCCCAAAGCTCAATAACATGCTTGGGCGGCTCAGACTTGAAGAGCTTGTAAAACCAGCCATATGTTATGCACATCAACTGCATACACCGAGATCCTTGTCTTAAGCTCAGACCTTCTCTTTTTGCAAAGCAGAAAGGTACCCCGTTTGAGTTACCCGATTGCCCTTTCCTATCAGAGCCTTTATTAGGCTCTACAACAGAAGTTCCCCCAAGTGATCTTCTCCACCCAAGTACAGACGACTTATGCCAATGATTTCCAGGTTGTGACATTCATCCTCTGATCTCCACTCACCTCCAGGCAGCCATCCCTCTTCCAAGGTCTTACTGCCAATAGAGAGCTGTGTGCTAGCTGAACACAAGTCTCTAATACCCAGTGGACCCCTTCCACCCATCCTTAACCCCCTTCCCCCAGGCTTAGAGAGAAAAAAATTCAACTTTCTTCCAGGATTCCAGCTGTTCATTCCCTCATTCCATTCAAAGCACCTATTCCAGTCCAACCTCTTTCTACCCCAAACAAAGTCATCCTGCTTGGGAGATTATCAAGGGGACTCCAAATTAGTCAAAGACTTGACTTCCCTGTCCTGGAGAGAAGACCAGAAGAGAAAAAGTTTTTTTTCCCAGTGAATATATAGCAGGGCAAAAAAAGATACCAGTTAACCTTGTCAATAATTCTAATATACATGTGAAGTGATTAAAACTGCCTTCCATATAGTCAGTATACACACACACACACACACACACACACAAATCTAGGGATGGTGACATTTTTGGTGAAGGAGGAAAAGAAAGAGGAGAAGACAGAAGAGGAATGGGTGTGGTGTGTTAGGACCATACATATGAATTAATACTTTATTTGCATGTGTCTGATTTTCCTCTTATCTCTCTGGCTGCCCCTTCTCAATCTCCTTTGCTGCTAATCCTTCAACTCCTCAACCACCAAATACTAAAATGCCCCGAGGCTCAGTCCTTGGACCCCTTTTCAAGTGATCATACTTACCTGTGAATCTCATCCAGTCTCGGCTTTAAAAGCCACCTACAGGACTTCCCTGGTGGCGCAGTGGTTGAGAGTCCGCCTGCCGATGCAGGGGACACGGGTTCGTGCCCCGGTCTGGGAAGATCCCACATGATGCGGAGCAGCTGGGCCCGTGAGCCATGGCCGCTGAGCCTGCGCATCTGGAGCCTGTGCTCTGCAACGGGAGAGGCCACAACAGTGAGAGGCCCGCGTACTGCAAAAAAAAAAAACAAACCAAAAAAAACCAAGTACTCTCACTAATAATTTTTATATTGTATACTGAAACAGTAGTTTTGGTATATTAAGTTAAATATATTATTACGGCCCGCATTCAAAAAAAAAAAAAAAAAAAAAAACAAACTAAAAGCCACCTACATACTGATCACTCCCAGATGTGTACCTGCATATATTGGACCTTTCTCCACTCCAGCTCCAAACTTGTATAATCAACTGCCTACTGCACATCCCTATTTGGATGTTTATATGCAACTCAAACAACATGTCCAGTAGCATGTTTGTGCTCCTGATAATACCCCTCAACTCTTCAATTCTGCAAACTGAGAGTTTTTCCCATCTCTGAAAAATGGCCATTCCAGTCTTCTGCTTGCTCAAGCCAAAAACCTAGAATTCATCCCCAACTCATCTCTTTCTCTCACACCCCGTTTACAATCTATCAGCAAAACCTGTGGACTCAGTCGCTAAAATATACCCAGAATCTGACCACTTCTATTGTTACCACCCTGGTCCTCGTTCCCATCATCTCTCTCATGAATTACTGCAATTACCTCTATGTTGGTCATTGCCACACTAATGCTGCACAACCCATTCCAAATTCAATGATCTAAAACAATTATTTTTTCTCATGGACCTGTAGATCCATGTAGACTTTAGCTGAGCTGCGCTGGACTTCAGGCTTGAGAGTAGATTCAGGTCTGCTCTAAGCTAAGGGTTTGTGGGTTAGCTGGGGAAGGTCTGCTTCAAGCTATGAGCCCAAGAGTCAATTGCAGTCCCTTTGCTTCAAGTGTCCTATTCAGAGCCCACACTGAAAATGCTCCCCGGGGCATGCTCTTTTCATGGTGGTCACAGAAGCACAAGCAGGAAAAGCCAGCATGGGAGAATATTTCAAGCTTTTGCTCCTAACACTTCCACTAACATCCCATTGACCAAACAAAGTCGTGTGACCGAGCCCAAAGTCAAGAGGTGAGGAAATACACTGCTTTCCATGCAACCGTGGCAAAGGCCTCGTGTATGCATAGTCCTACTATGAATAGGTAGTGAAGAGTTGTGAGGAAGCAATAACTCAATCTACCACAGTCTGCACTCTTGGTTATAAATATTCACGTCCTTTGGACATGCAAAATACATTCATTCCTATCCCACGGCCCCTAAAAGATCCATCAAATCCTTGAAGTCCAGGATCCACATCAGCTCCTGATATGTCTCTTCTTGATGTAGAGACCTATGAATTAAAAGAGCAAGTGTCTTGGGAATTCTCTGGCAGTCCAGTGGTTTCACTGCCGAGGGCGTGGGTTCGATCCCTGGTCAGGAAACTAAGATCCTACAAGCTGTGTGGCGTGGCCAAAAAAAGAAAAAAAAGCAAGTGTCTTCTCATACGCCCAACATACCACAAATAATGGACAGGGATAACATAACCACTAAAAAGTACTCTCATTTATAAAGGAGAATAACGGAAGCAAATAGCAGTCACTGGTCCAAACCAATTATAAAATCCCACTGAGCAAAGGTCCTCAGGTTCCTCTATTTGGGGAGGGGAGATAATGTTTCATGATTAAGCACTGGTTCTGCTCCCTAAGAATGACTGTCCAGTCTAGTCTCCATAGCTCTTATTTCTACAGTCTAGGCAATCATTCTTTTTCCATCATCTTCCACATATCTTTCCTTGGAAAGGGCATTGGAAAATTACCCTTTTGGGTGGATGTATCTCAACCTGATTCCTTCCTGTCTGTAGAAAACCGAGAGTACAAAGATGTTTACATCTTGCACACCCTCAGCCTCTTTTAGTTGTTGGCAATGCTTTGCCAATAAACTTTTCCAAGAAACTTTGTGGGTTTTCTGTGTGTTTGACTCTAGTCAGCTCCATGTGTCAAAAGCTGCACTCACAATTTCTTTATAGATATGCTTCCCTCTCTCTCTCGATTTAATTCTATTGAGGAGTGAAGAATTGGAACCAATATTTCAATAAACTACAGCCTCGTAGCTGTCATAACTGATCTCCCCGCCTCCATTCTTTTCCCCTTTCAGCACAGAGGCCAGAATGTCCTGTTATAGTTTACGTCATGTCATGTGACTGCTCTTCCTAAAACCCCCAGTGGTTTCTCATCTCACTCCGAGTCAGAGCTAAAGTCTTGATAACGGTCTACAGAGTTCTATGCAGATCTTGCCTCCCATTACCTCTCTAACCACTTTTCCTTATCTTTTAAATTCTTCTCCTTGTTTCTGAACACCATTCCATCCAACCTGTTTACTGCCTGTTTCCTGCTGCTGGAACGTACGCTCTTGGAGGATAGGGATTTGCTACTTTGTTCACAGCCTTTTTAACATGCAGCCAGAAAGGGTGAATTATTTCTGGTGGCTTAAACAGAAGTGGGAGAAGTCCTAACAAATACCCCTTCTGTCAAGTTATCTTTGATTGGGTTATACATCCATCCCTGAATGGATCATTGAGGTCTGGGGAAAAGAATATGCTAATTGGAGTACACCCATCACCGTCAGATCCCGCCCCTGGGGTAAGGGGTCACCTGGGTGAAAGTCAAGGCAATTTGAAGTTCCTTGAAGGAAACAGAGTAATGTCAGGAGGAAGGGATAATGGATGCTGGGCAGCAAACAACAAATACCCATCACAGTACTTTAATC